TGCAGTTAATCCCTGTCAGTTCTCCACAGCAGTCTCACAGAAGCAGCCAAGAGTTTCCATCCCAGCTCCCTCTGTGGAGGAGCTGCACTGTGGGGTTTGAGCCAGAAAACTGGAGAGTAGAATCTTAGAACCTTCTAGGTTGGGAGGGACCTACAAGGATCCTGGAGTCCAACTCCTGGCCCTGCACAGGACAACCCAGCAATCCCACCAAGTGCCTGAGAGTGTTATCCAAACTCCTTGAGCTCTGTCAGGCTTGGTGCTGTAACTCCTTCCCTGGGGAGCCTATTTCAGGTGCCCAACCACCCTCTGGGGGAAGAACTTTTTCTAATATCCTGCCTAACCCTCCCCTGACACAGCTCCATGCTGTTCCCTTGGGTCCTGTCCCTGGTCACACAGAGCAGAGATTAGTGCTGCCCCTTGTGAGGAAATGCCCCACACAGAACCCCCTGGGGTCACCAACCACTGCCCCTGAAACACCCCAACCTTTGGACCTGGTCTTCAGACTGTGGGGGCAGAGAGAAGCTGGTGGCAGTGTCTGGGGGGGATGGGGTGCCCCTCCAGGCCCCCCAACAGTGCCCAGCCCAGGGGGGCTTCTCTACACCTCCCCCCCAGCCTCCCATCACACAAACAGCCTGAAACAAAACCTTTATTTAGAGGACCAGGAGAAGTTTTGGTCCAGAGGCCTCACCCCAGCAGCAGTGTCCTGTAGCACAGGGCACCTCTGGAGTTCCTGCCATCATTCCATGACCTTCCCCAGCTCAGCATTGGGACCAGGTCTGCATCGAGCTCTCCCCCACATCGGGGTGCAGTGCTGGTTGCAGGGGTGATGGCTCTGCCTGCCATGGCTCAAGGTGATACATGGATCTGATTTGTTAAGTCTCTTGAGTCTGTGCAGTCTCAGAGGATCTTCCTGGGGAGTCTTCAGGGACCCCTGTGGTCGCTGAGCCACTGAACTTCAGAGTTTTCATCCTGCTCTTCCATATACGGTGGTTTTTTAATCTAAGCTGCACAGGAGGTTCCTGAACAAACTGGATTGGGCTGGTTTGACTTGTTCCATAGGTGGTTGCAGAGCTCTCAACATGTTCCACTGTTCCACTGACCATTGTGTACCATCCCATTACCCGTTGTTATTTACGACACAGGCAGCCCGTCAGGAAGGTCCATGTCCATGATGGCTCTGTAAAGTGATGAGGGAGGAGAGCAAGGAGTAGGATCAGGGTTCAATTCCTCCAGAATCAGGAGCCAAGAGCCCCAAACACTCCCCTCATGTCACACAGCCCTGCTGCTGCTGCTGCAGCCCTGTTCGGGGCCAGGCACTGAACAAGGAGGAACAGAGAGAGGTGCCCGACCTGCTGGGCTTCCCTGGCTGTGAAGAGGAGCAGATGGAACAGCTCAAAGGCCATCAGAAAGGGTGGCTACTCCTCTGTAGAACAGGGTTGCCACGAATTCCACAGTGACCATGACCCCCCACTCAGATCCAGAGGACGAGCCAGGACAGCGACTCTGCCTCCTGGGCCGCGCTGTGCGGGATGTTGGGGCCCTGCCCAGCTCCAGCAGCAGCATCATCTCCTCCCCTGTGGGGACAGGGCAATCCTGGGGCTCAGCTGGGAACTGACACCCCCTCCCCAGCACCCTCCTGGCTCCTGGGCCCACAGCTGCTCACTGGGGCAGCACCAGCAGCGTGGTCACCATGCCACAATGGAGAAGGCCATGCCCGGCCCCAGTTCCAGCTGCTGGCAGTTCCAGGAAAGCATTCCACCAGTTCTGTTTGTCCTAGGGTTGCCAGACAAGCGCTCCACTGCTGCTGTTCTAGGTCACAGCATCTCCCAGCTGCCTGTTCCACGGGAGAACCTGCCACCCTGGCACATCCAGAGGCACTCAAACCAGGGGACCGTGCTGAGCCCCAGCTGCTGCTCCAGGACACGGGTGGGGCCGCAGAAAGGACCCCCCAGAGCCACTTCCAGAAGGTTCAGTGAAGGAGAAACGAGCAGGAGCTGAGACCAGCCCTGGGGGCGGGACCCAAAGGCTTTAAAAGGCTCTGCTCGGGGTAAAGGCGTTCGCAGCACCAGAGCGCGGCAGCAGCGGGCAGGGCACGGCCCTGGAACCGGGGATGGGGATAGAGCCTGGGGCTTTTTTGGTTTGGAGTTTTGGTTTTTTTCTTCTCTCTTTTTTTTTTTCTTGTTTGTTTTGTTGCTTTTTTCCTTGTGTTGTTGTGTTTTTTTCATGTTTTCTTGCTTTTTTGCTTTCTTGCTTCCTTCCTGATTTTCTTTCTCTTTTTTCTTTTTCCCTCTTTTTCCTGTTCTGCTTTTCTCTTTTCCTCCTTTCCTTTTTCCCTCTTTCTTTTTTTTTTTACTTTCACTCTCTTTTACTGCATTACCTTTTTCTCTCTTTCTCTGTT